TAATTACAGGGGTATTAACCCCCCTAATTTTTTTTTTTCTGCGGGCGCCCTTGCTGCTTGGTGACTCAGAATGTTACATATTACTACTTAGTGACTGAGAACATCACATGCTATACTCACTGAGTGAGAATGTTTAATGCTCTGCGTAAGTAGGAAATGGTCACGTATTAAGTTCTCGTTGAAAGTATATATACAGTTCTGTATTCTGGCTTAAAACAAATAATAACACAACACAATATGTATGGTAGAAAATCCCCCCCCCCCACATGAGTCCACGAGGCTTCTTACAGAATACAGTGATTGAAGGTGAACCGTCAGTAACACTGTCTGTGACCAGAAGACTAAATTTAGTTTTTCATCTAATCCACATTCCTTATTTTTAGTATAATTTATACAGAAGAATAAAGCTACGTATTAATCAAATTCTATATAAATATAGGTTCGCTGTGTTGAGTGGAAGACCAATTAAAACATCGTACATATACAGTTTAGCGTAGACAGGGGAACCTTTCCGAAATTAATTAACTGATGCAATAATTGAAAAAGAGCTTTCAAACAAGCTTCGACCAGGGCAAAGCTACACGCACTCGCCGCTTGTTACTCTCATTGTGTTTCCGCGTGACACGCTCGTGCTGCCTGACGTCACAGTTGAACAGGAGCTAGCCCCACACCCCGTGTTTTACCAGGTGACACAGAAAAAATCCACGTTGTCTGCGCTTGTGGAATTGTGATTGTTAGGCTGAAGTTTGATTTGATATACCGCTAGGGGGTTTTTACTGGCTTTACAAACCAAACTGTTCTGTCTGGTTTGAGCTGTGAATGCTATCTACAAATCTGTTTTAGGGTTTCTTTGTTGTTGTTGTTGTTCTATGAGGGGAAAATGTTCAACTGATTTAGTTTTCGCCGAGTATGAAAGATTAAATCGTGCGATTACGTTAGGCTTCACACATCCATTTTTCGCCAAACATATTGACCCGTTGTGAGTCAAAGTCACATTGACCTTTGTATGATCACAATAGTTATAACCTTGAGTGAGAGTCCGCCAGTAACACTGGCAATGGCGCACTCCCCCAAGAATGAAGATTGCTGTCCCACGTAAGACGAGGAACACGACAAGCACGTTAGCTTCCTAGTGTATGTAGTACACGCGCTTTCTCTGCTCGAGCGCACGCGAGAACATCTGGGGCTTCGGTTAAAGAGTAGAAAAGTGAACCTACCTCCATTCCATCTTTCTTCACAGCCCAATTAACCGTTGTCACGCTTACCTCTATTCCATCTTCCATCGCAGCCCGCTTAACCGTTGTCACGTTTCGTCAATCGAACATGAACAGCAAGCAACTTTAGGCGCGATGCTCGCACTCGGTAAATACGAACGTGAGGTTCCGCGCTGCCCTCTAGTGGAACATAGAGCAACTAAACTACGTGTGAAAATCGTATTGGAAACTCTTTCCGCCAATTTAGCCAACTATTAATTGTTTGCTTCTGCGCTCTAACACGCTGTTATTCCGCCTGGCGTCACATCTACGTGCTTAGTAAAACAGTCGCTTCGATAAATTTCGATCGTCCTGTCTATAGGTGCAAGTTAAAAAATAAAAAGCAGAGAGGAGTAACTACTGATGCGACACCTGTTTAATAAGTTTGGATTGTTTTGAATAGTAAAAAAAAAAAGTAGCTAACATTTGTTTATATTTGTTTAAAGTTCTCGTTCAATTAGTTTTCTCTGATGGTAATCTCCTCGCTCAATCAGCGGTAAATTTGAAGGCTTATAACGCACAACTTCAGGGTTCGATCCCTGTGGTGGGCCCGGAGTGGATAGCCAATTGTGCAGCTTTGCATTAAAAAAAACTAGCGGTTAACACTTTTCACTTAATAATATTGTGTTATAGTTATTTTTGAGCCAGAATATCTGACGAATAACGCTTTACAGTTACCATAGCAATTACATAAATAAACAGATCGTAACAATTAAATTAATACTGTAAATTACGCAAATGCATTCAAACGTACGTAAAAAAAAAAACAGTTTCATTAAGGCGGTAACGTCACTTCCTCTTGTTGACATTAAGTCGGTAACGTCACTTCCTCTTGTTGACTCAACTAAGTTTCTCTAGAAACTTGATTTTCCACACGTCTTTGGTAATGAAGTATTTGTGTTTTTGGTAAAGCTACAATTAGTCAGTCAGCAGCATCTACCATCTACGTAAAGGGACTGGCTGTCACTGTTATAACGTACCCACAGCTTAAAATGCGGAAAAAAGTTTGTGGTATCGCAAGGATTCGAACCCCAGGTCTCTACCACAGGAACAACCCGCCCTCCATACAGTGGTAGAACTGAAGTTTAAAATTTCACACACGAACATTTATTAGTATTATTATTTTACATATATATGACACCATTGCAACTGGCAAAATATTGGGTAAAATCACTCATATTTAAAATATATAAAAACCCAAGACGTACGTAGTGGGGTTTATTGAAATGTTTTTTTTTTATCACTCCTATGTTATCAGGGACTCTGTGCCCAACAAATTCTTGGGCCCACTAATAATTAGACCCCCCCCCCCGTGGGTCAGTGCAAGGAAAATAGGATATAATACAGAATTCGAGGTTTGATCCCTGCAATGGACAGAGCAAGGATAGACTAATGTGCATATTTTATACTTAACAACTTACAAAGAGAATTGTGTTTTAAAAGACAATCAGTAATTCTATGGCTAAAGACCTGATGATCTATCTGGTAGTTTTAAGTAAGAAATACTCATATTCCGACAAGTATCAAATAGTTGGATCCTCCAGTAACTGAAAATTCGTTCAGGAAATACTTCACTGTAAACATTCTGACTGATTCACTCTATCGGCTAGAAAACAACTCTCTGTCTGATTAACTCTAACTTTGCTTTATAATTAATTCTGCAAGCTTACTTAACTTACTGAATGGCTGACCCATATTTATATCTAATCCTTGTTCTAGATATTTCGCAAAGTTATTAGATTTTAGTGATGTCAATTTAGAATATTCTAGGCCTACTTTCACAAAGTTACTTGATGTTAACAACATGCGCCCTCTAGCTATTAACATCTAAATTACAACATAAAAAATGCAACTTATCATCATTATTGAAAACTAAAATATTTTTTTTCGAAACAACGATTATTTTATATAAAATGAGATTGTTTCCAGTCTCCAAATTACTAAAATAATAACTTACTGTATAGGTTAAAAAGTGGAAAAAACCCGATGAAACTGGAAAACAATCTCATACACTGAACATGTTTCGACGAATATCTTGCGTCATCCTCAGGAGTGTAATGTTTTGCAAAAAAATAACACTTATTTATACCTTTACCAGATCACCAATTTACATATTTGCCCCCCAGTAGCACAGCGGTATGTCTGCGGACTTACAACGCTAGAATCCGGGTTTCGATACCCGTGGTGGGCAGAGCACAGATAGCCCTTTGTGTAGCTTTGTGCTTAATTTCAAACAAACAAACAAAATTTACATATTTAATAATTTTACGCCATCTATTGGCAACATTTCCATCAGGTCCATCATCCTTATTCAATAATTTAAATTTACTTGTAACTGTGTAAAAAATAATCGTTGTTTTTATAAAATTGTGAGTTTTTTAATATTGAACATTACACAAGTGGCAAGGATTTTAAAAATTTATTGTCATTAGATATATAGGCTACGGTTGCAGCCCATACATATCAATTATCATTATCGGACGTCATTCGGTTCTCTAAAATGAAAAGCTATCATTTTTTTATTTGGGTGCTTTTATAAAATTCGTCACACATCTACTGAACAGCACAGTGTATATAAATATACAGGGCGTAGACAGCATTTTGGATTTGGTAGCAGGAAGGGTGGGGGAAGGCTTGATTTGTTCTATGTTTTTAACGATATGGCGCCTGGAAATTGTACCATAAAACCTTAAAAGAGTCCAGAATATATTCCTGATTTTAAAATCTATTCTCGGAATCTAATCCGCAACCCAATTTAAAAAATACTTATTTAAAAGCCGTGGCAATAAACAACTAAGAAATATTGCCTTGTTCTATTTATTTTTCTAATATTGGTTAAACAAGCGAAGAAGTAGAACAACAACAAAAAATAGCGAACATGAGTACTGTTTTTTGTTGACGTATTATTAGTTTAATATGTATTGTTGTTATAAAGTATTCTTACGGTTATTTTCTTTCATTATTATTATTACATTGTATTACAATGTGGAATGCTCCAGTGCTCGAATCATCGGGTTTCTTGGGTTGCACTATACCTAATTTTGGATTCTAAGTGTGTAAGTATATTAGACGAAACAAAATGGTACTTACCGTTGTTTGGTTTAGGCGACGAAAGCACGTCCCGTACACATTGGCTAAATGTCAATTCTGTATTCGTATCTTCATATGGCAACACCGGCAAAGCGTATAACAAATCTAACAAGTCTTCGATAAGGTCCTGGTTCGAGAGTTGTTCATTCTGCCGATATAAAAGTGCATACTGTTAACAATTTTCCTTGTATGAACCCACGAATGTGCAACGTAAGATAGTTTGTTTGTTTTGAATTTCGCGCAAAGCTACACGAAGGCTATCTGCGCTAGCCGTCCCTAATTTAGCAGTGTAAGACTAGAGGGAAGGCAGCTAGTCCTCACCACCCACCGCCAACTCTCGGGCTACTCTTTTTACCAACGAATAGTGGGATTGACCGTCACATCATAACGCCCCTACGGTTGAAAGGGCGAACATGTTTGGTTGGACGGGGATTCGAACCCGCGACCCCCAGATTACGAGTCGAGCGCTTTAACCACCTGGCCATGCCGGGCCTTCGTAAGATAGAACAAGATCTGTAAATTATAACCAAATAGTCTTATATTGTTTGATTTGGATTTATTTTCATATCTTCTTAAGTCATTGTGAAGCTTTCGACCACTCTTTGTTAAAGACGAACAACTATAAGATCTGATAACTGAAAATTAAAGAAAGAAACGAAAGATGGAAATATTTTGTTTAATTGTTTTTATTAGTAGTAACGCTACCTGACGAGAGAATGACGAGTCATTAAAGCAGAGCGAGTAATTTCCAACCTTTGTCCCCAACGCTCCGTCTTGGGTCCAGTCGCCATTTTCACCACATTTCCTCGTAGCCACTTCTGGAAAATAATTAATCAAGTAATTAAGCATTAATCAGAGAGTTGTAATGATATTTTCTTGACTAATTTTCATAAGCTATATCCAGTTGTGTAATAACGCATACAAATTGCATCACCATGTTTTGATCCAACTAGTACCAATCATAAGAAAAAAACATGCACTAACAAAAATTAATATTCATAATAAATCAGAAGTCACGAACGACATGAAAACAAGAACTATTAAAGTAACGTTAATAATAAATCAAAAATTGTTTGCTGTTAAACATAAAGATACACAATGGAATATCTGTTGTGTGCCTCCTTAGGGATCGAAATCCGAATTTTAACATCATAAGTCCTCAATGATGGGCTAAAGAATTATAATATTGGTGACAAGGCAATAACATAATTACAGTAAAATTAAAAATTCAAAAGATATACATATGCGTGGGTACAGCGCTCGCACCTTCAATAGTTGCCTTGACCAAGGATCATACACAAGACACCGTAGAACAGCCATCTCGTCAATAGATCATACACAAGACACCATAGAACAGCCATCTCGTCAAGAGATCATACACAAGACACCAGAGAACAGCTATTTCGTCCAGAGATCATACACAAGACACCGTAGAACAGCTATTTCGTCAATAGATCATACACAAGACACCATAGAACAGCCATCTCGTCAAGAGATTATATATAAGACACCATAGAACAGCCATCTCGTCAGGAGATCATACACAAGACACCAGAGAACAACTATTTCATCCACAGATCATACACAAGACACCCCAGAGAACAACTATTTCGTCAAGAGATCATACACAAGACACCATAGAACAGCCATCTCGTCCATAGATTATATATAAGACATCAGAAGACAGCTATTTCGTCCATAGATCATACACAAGACACCAGGGAACAGCTATTTCGTCCAGAGATAATATACAAGATACAGGATAACAACTGTCTCGTCCAGAGTTCACGTACAATGCATCAGAAAACAGCTATTTCGTCCACAGATCACATACAAGACACCGGATAACAGTTTCTCGTCCAGTCCAGAGATCATATACAAGACACCAGAGAACAGCTATTTCGTCCAGAGATCATATACAAGACACCAGAGAACAGCTATTTCGTCAAGAGATCATACACAAGACACCAGGGAACAGCTATTTCGTCCAGAGATAATATACAAGATACCGGATAACAACTGTCTCGTCCAGAGTTCACGTACAATGCATCAGAAAACAGCTATTTCGTCCACAGATCACATACAAGACACCGGATAACAGTTTCTCGTCCAGTCCAGAGATCATATACAAGACACTGAAGAACACTGTCTCGTTCAGAGATCATATACCGGAGAACTAGAAACATAAGACAGCTCCTGGATACTCTATGGTCAAAATCAGAGTTCCCAGTAGTGTATATGTATGTGTATAGCTGTATATTTTGAGCATCTTTAACAAATAATACACATTATAATTACGACACAGGCTATATATATTTGTACATGAACCTACTGCAATGTTTTATGAAATATTATTTTCATTTGAGAATAAGAGTTGTACAGTTCATTCGAAGATTTTCTTATATATATATATGTAGATTTTGTTAAACAAGACCGATGTCTGTAGGTTTACTTTATTCTTAGAA